TTTAATGCACTTTGGAATTACGTAGAGTCTAAAAAATACTGATGCCTGGCTCACACTCCCAGACATTCTCATTTAATTGACATGGGGTGCAACCTAAGCTTCAGGGTTCTAAAAGCTCCCCAAATGATTCTAATGTGCAGAGAAGCTGGAAACCACTGCTTTCTATTATTGCACAAACAAAAGGGTAAGGCCTAGCTATGTGAAGATGTACATAATACTAGTGCAACAATGCAGAGGTGAACAGAGCTACAAAAGCCTATATGACCAAAGTGAATAACCATTCTTTCGCTCCATTGCCTCAGATAAGTGAGAAAGTACCAATGTCCAACTTAGCTCATTTTTTTTTTTCATTCTGTACCTGGATAGAACCATTGCATGCAATAATCTGATTTTTCATCTCTTCATTCCACAAGCCCCGTTCAGTCAGATCTTTCAGTAAGTGAGGATTTACAATCTGAATGGAAAAGCAGAAAAGATGTGAAGAAATAAATAACAGTGACAGGCACTAAACAAGATCACAGGCCTAGAACTTACAGTAAATAAAATTACTGAAGAATTATTATATTTAACATTAGACTGCTTGATAATTTCTATTTTTTATAAAGCTGGAAGGCCCATTCCATCACAAGAAAGCTATATTCCTTTAAAATCTTTTTTGATTCAAGAAACAAAATATATGGTATTTGCAAAAGTGAAAGGAACTAACATTGCCTAAGCTGGGTAAATTTATGTGGATTGATTCTTTTTTCCCCTAAGCAAGAATACAATAAATAAGAAGAAACATTAGAAATGTATTCCTCCTACACCTTACAGAAGTATATTACAGGATATCAGCAAACTCACAAATAAAAATCTTTTAAATTAGTGGTTCTCAGCCCTTAGCTGCGTATCAGAATTACCTGGGAAACTTAAAACAAAACAACACTGGCCCCACGCACCAAAAATTCTAATTTGTAACCAAGGCTGAGAACCACTGTCTTAAATGATGCTTCTACATTTATCTTAGTATCGTCAACTTAAACATCTGAGGTTATAGTATCTATCACTCTGATTACAGAATAGTTACATATCACCTGAATTCTAATATCAACAAGTTACTTTCATACTCAACCCTCAATCATGCATTCTTTTGGCAGATATTTATTAAAATGTCTATTATGTGATGAAATAATATAGAACAATATTAGAGATGACGATGATTCACTTTATCAAAGCTTTGCCCCATACTAACATAAAGAGGCACATTAAATATGCGTTAGCATTTATTCCCAACATCAGGCTTTTGAAAGCTTTCCCTGTTGGTCTAGTTGTGATTTTCTCACCTGAAATTCTCCTGACAAGACTCTACGAGTGTAGATGTTGCTGGTATATGGTTCAATGGACTCATTATTTCCCAGAATCTGAGCAGTTGAAGCAGTAGGCATCGGGGCAATAAGTAAACTATTCCTTATACCATACCTAAAGAAAAGGAGATTATTAGGTGCTGGTCCTAAAGCTACAATCTGCCAAGAAGGCAGCTATTTCAAGTAATTGTAGTAAATGAAGCTGTAGTAAATGCAGCAGTGAGTAACGTAATACCAGCATTAGACTAGACTCATATATGGATTTTTAATTTAATCTCTACAGGGATGCAGCTCCACAGAATGAGTGGTATAGCTCGCCCCTCTCCTAAATGCCTAACTCCTAAACAGAATTAGCACAATTTCTATTGCTGGCAATCCTTATCAGGCCATGACTTATGGCACTTGCACTGTAGCACTCCGGAACCACAGCACTTGATACACTCTCTTGCCCAAGGAAACACTAAATGGCTGTTGAAGGGTCCACACCTGTATCAGAGTACCCTCATTCAACCCTCTCTCTCTTCTAAGTGCCTCTGCAATCACTCTTCTAGGCCCTTTCAGGAAACATAATGATGTGAAAGCAGTCAGAAACAGACATCTATCACAAGTCTCCATTAGCCTGAATAGGACAATGAACAGGGGAAATTATGCTCAAAGTACATTCCTGACTTCCTCTATTACCTCTTCAATTATTAAGTTCCTAGAAGAATGTTAACACCTTTTGTCTCTATTCGGTGTGCTTAAGAGAGTGCTTAAGGAAGAATATACTATCTGAGAGAGGCCGGGTGGCTCAGTTGGTTATAGAGCGCGTGCTCTGAGCAACAGAGTTGCTGGTTCGATTCCCACATGGGCCAGTGAGCTGCGCCCTCCGCAACTAGATTGAAGACAACGACTTGAGCTGAGCTACTGTTGATGGGCAGCCGGATGGCTCAGTTGGTTAGAGCACGTGCTCTTAACAACAACTCCTGCATGGGATGGTGGGCTGTGCCTCGCCACAACTAGATTGAAAACGGCGACCAGTCTTAGAGCTGAGCTGCGCACACCTCCACGACTAAAATTGAAGGACAACAACTTGACTTGGAGCTGATAGGTCCTGGAAAAAACACATTGTTCCCCAATAAAGTTTTTTTTTAAAAAAAAGGAATATACTATCTGAACACTGAGAAATCTTCAACCTGCTCTTGGTTCGTCCTTCAAAGCTCAGCCTAAGAAATACTTAACTAGAACACCTTTTCTGACCAGGCAAGCAACACTTGAGTGTGAAATATAAATATTTGCTCTACAAACATTTTCCATGACCTGCACCTTTATTATGTATACTTTAACTATTTGTATTACATGTCTCAAGACACTTAAGTCTTAAGTTTCTCAAACCCAAACAGCTTATCTTTCCTCCATTTTATACCTCTGGATTCATACAGTGCTTAGCACAGAGCCTCATGTCCTAATGGAGTCTGTATAACTGGCTTCTCACTGTCACTTTACTTGTGAGGCATCAAGCAAACCAACAGCTATCTCCATGTCTCTACTATGAACAGTGGTTTCCTGTTCATAGAGAGGAAAATGTTTTGAAAAGTCATGTATTTGTGATATAGTCAAACTATGGAATTATCTGTAATCATCAAAAACATTAGGTAAAACTACATGAACTAAAAAGGAAAGATCTCTAATATAAATCAATAAAAAGTCTTCAAATATATCAAGTTTGATCACATTTACATAATAAAACCATATGTGTGCATCTGCAAACACACTGAAAAAAGTCTAGAAAAATACACATCATTAAAAATACACATCATGGTTATCTCTGCAAAAAGGAATAAATAGGTTTTTTGTTTTGTGGGACAAGTGGTTGGCAGAAAAGGTATAAAGAAGGGCTTTTATTTCTATATTTGAACTTTATTAAAAATGAATGTGTATTCATGTATTAACTTTGAAATTTAAAAAGGCTATATACAAAATATATATAAACTATAGTGTTTTGAGAAAAACAAAATAAAATAGAGTACAGGGACATTTTTGTAAAAGTTGCATTTCCATGTAAATCCACATGTACACATGCTCAGAAGAAAGTCTGACAGATGACAAAGAAAAAGGCGCAGACAGGTTTTTGGTGGGGAGATAGTATGCAGATAATTTTCATTTTACAACCTTTTCACATTTTTCTAAATTTTTGAACATGTATTATTTGAACAATAAAACATTTTAAGGCAAATAGGTATGTTTTAAAGAGCATTTTAAAGTTACTACTTCTGCAAATATTAAAATTTTATAGGTGGCTGGTTAGCTCAGTTGGTTAGAGCGCAGTGTTCATAACACCAAGGTTGCCGGTTTGATCCCCACATGGGCCACTGAGCTGTGCCCTCCACAACTAGATTGAAACAACTACTTGACTTGCAGCTGATGGGTCCTGGAAAAACACACTGTTCCCCAATAAAAATTTAAAAAAATTTTACAAATAATTTAACTGAGATGAAACTGATCATAACAGAAAATGAAAGCAACTTGTTTCATTATTCCCTCAGCAAAACATTCTGCCTGCCCTCTAATTTCTTGTTTATTATTTTCAAAGACCTACAAAGACTTAATTTTTACATTTTTCTTTCAGTTTAATACTTTACCCTCCAAAAGCTCTTCCAAAATCCCTTATTCCTATGACAATCAATTCAACAAAAGCCACTTACATGCCCAATGTAGTTAAGCAATAAATAAAAGTGAAACACATTTAAAAAGCAAGCACACTTGAAAAAAATGAAGGTTTAATGAGAAAAAAGAATTACCTAATCTAGGTAGTTAAGCCTCTAAAACAAGATCAACTCATAATATCTACCATGTATTGAAAGAACTTTCATTGTGCCAAGCAGTTTATCGGTTACTATACATGTATTATCTTATGACGTATTTAAAAAAATAGTTCTGCAGATAGGTTATTTTAGCTCCATTTAAAAGAGAAAAAATGAGTTTCATAAGTTAAAATAACATAGCTGACTCTGAAGAGCTGGGATGAAACTTGAACACTCCTACTTCAAGCTACTTTACATGTCTTTACTTACTTTGCAATCTTCTCCTTGAGAAGGTTCCAGTCCCAGAGGTCTGTGGGAGTAACATTCCACATATCATACTGAAGGATCTAAGGAACAAATAACCCAATTTATGATAAGTCACTCTATGACACTTTAAAACTATGACAAAAACCAAACAAATGACTAAACTGACCATGCCCCACATCCCAACAAATGCTGTCTTCTAGTAAAACTATGTAAGGAATACAAGGTCCAGAGTTTTTTCTGGACAAACTTCCATGAAGTCATATTGAAAAGAAGCAAAGAAAACTGGTTAAGGCTTACCTCTTCCCACATCCCAGCTGCGTCTCCTTGGAGGACCTGTATCATATCTACAAACCAGAAAATTCTAACGTTCCTGAAAGTGTACTGCTGAGATGTGTTCTGTTTCTGCAGTAAAAACGTTACTCTAACGTCATCTTTATTTGCCGTGATCTGCCCCTTGATCTATTTACTTAGCTAATGAGCTAATGTGACTGATAAAAAAAGGCAGTGTGGAAGGCAGAATTCTATGACAGCTCCCACATTCTCACCCCTTGACAGTCCATGTATAATCTCTTCCTCTTCCGTGTGTTACTCAACCTGAAAACATGATTGATGCCACTCACATTAGTATGGCAAAGGTGAAGCGTTTCTATAGATGCAATTAAGGTTGCAAATCAGTCGATTTTGAGTTAAACAAAAGAGAGACTATCTTGGCTGGACCTGACTTATCAAATGAAAACCCCCAAAAGAAGGCCGGGACTGGTCCCTTCTTGAAATGAAGGACTCTCCTTCCAGTTGGTTTTGAAGCAAGATACCATGAGTTCTAGGCCTGCAAGGAAATGAATTCTGCCAACAATGATGTGAGCTTGGAGGAAGACCCTGAGCCTCAGATGAGACCACAGCCTCTACTGACACCTAGACTGCAGCTTTGTGAGACCCAGAAAAGTTGACCCAGATAAGCCAAGCCTAGGTTCCTGACCCATGGAAACTGAAATAAATGCATGTCGTTGTTAATATTTTAAATTTTTTTCAATTACAGTTGGCATACAATTAGTTTCAGGTGTACAACATAGTGATTACACATTTATATGCTTTACGAAGTGATCACCCCAATAACTCTAGTATCCGACACCATAGTTATTACAATATTATTGACTATATTACCTATGCTGTACTTTACAACCCTGTGATTACTTTTATAACTGGAAATTTGTACTCCTTAATCACTTTTACCTTTTTCACAAATCGCCACAACTCCCCTCCCATCTGGCGACAATTAATTTGTTCTTTGTATCTGTTGTTTGTTTCGTTTGCTGGTTACTTTTTGATTCCACACGTATGCAAAATCATGTGGTATTTCTTTCTTATTTCACTTAGCATAATACCTTCTAGGTCCATCCATGCTGTCACAAATGGTTAAGATTCCACTCTTATTCATGGCTGTGTAATATTCCATTGTATACATGCACCACTTTTTTTTTTTTTTAAGATTTTATTGGAGAATTGGGGGAGGGAACAGCGTTGGGGAATCAGGGAAGGGGAACAGACAAGTTGCTGTCCTTTGGTTCTTCAGTCTAGTTGTGGAGGATGTCGCTTCACTGGCCCATGTTGTGATCACCGCGCTCTTCCTGGCTGAGGCACATCAGTCACAGGCCATTGGACAGCCGCTCACACTGGCTGCCGGCCACTCACAGTAGCTTACAGCAGCCCACTGCAGCCTACACCATCGCTGGCAACTCACAGCAGCCCAGCTCCAGGTTGAGCTGTTGTTCACCATCTCAGCTGTAGAGGGCGCAGTGTCACTGGCCCATGTGTGATCCAAACCAGCTGCCTTGCTGTTCAGTGCTCCCGCTCCCAAGCCAACTCTTAACCAATGAGCCACTCGGCCGGCCCCATGCACCACTTCTTTATCCATTCATCTATTGATGGGCACTGTGGTTGTTTCCCTATCTTGACTATTGTAAATAATGCTGCAATGAACACAGGGATGCATATATTTTTTCAAATTAGTGCTTTGGATTTCTTCAGATAAATACCAGAAATTGAATTGCTGGGTCATATGGTAGTTTCATTTTTATTTTTTTGAGAAAACTGCATACTGTTTTCCATAGTGTCTGCACCAATTTACAATTCCACGAAGAGTGCATGAGGGTTCCCTTTTCTCCAAATCCTCTCCAACACTTGTTTGTTGATATTAATGATGGCCATTCTGACAGGTGTGAGGTAATACCTCATTGTGGTTTTGATTTGCATTTCCCTGATGATTAGTGATGTTGAGTATCTTTTCGTATGTCTAGTGGCCACCTGTATGTGTCCTCTTTGGAGAAATGTCTGTTCAGGTCCTCGGCTCATTTTTTAATCAGATTATTATCTGGGAGGTTACTAAATTCTATGAGTTCCTTATACATTCTGAATATTAAATAAAGGATGTTTCATTGGCAAGTATCTTCTGCCAATCAGTAGTTGTCTTTTCATTTTGTAGATGGTTTCCCTTTGCTGGGCAAACACTTTTTAGTTTGATGTAGTCCCATTTTTTTTCTTTTGTTTACCTTGCCTGGGGAGACATCAAGCAAGTAATTCTAACAGCAATTCAGTTTACTGCCTGTTTTCTTCTAGGAGTTTTATGGTCTTACATTTAAGTCTTTAATCCATTTTGAGTTTATTTTTGAATATGGTGTAAAAAGTAGTTAGCTTCACTTTTTTGAATGTATCTATCCAGTTTCCCCAACACCATTTATGGAAGAGACTGTCTTTTACTACATTGTGTATTCTTGCCTCCTCTGTCATAGATTAGTTGACAATTCAAGCATGGGTTTATTTCTGTACTGTCCACTATAATCTGTGTGTCTGATTTTGTGCCAGTACCATGCTGTTTTGAGTACTATAGCCTTGTAACAAAGGCATTTCACAAATGCTTTTTTTTCTTCATCTACTGATATGATCACAACTTTTGTCATTCATTTTGTTTATGTGGTACATCATATTAATTGATTTGTGGATATTGAACCAACCTTTCATCTTGGGAATAAATCACACTTGATTATAATGTATGATCTATTAATCTATGGCTGGATTTGGTTTGCTAATATTTTGTTGAGAACTTTTGCATCTGTTTATCAGGGATATTGGCCTATAATTTTCTTTTTTTGTAATGTCTTTGTCTGGTTTTGGAATCAAAGTTATGCTGGCCACATAAAATGAGATTGGTATCCTTCCCTCCTCTTCAATTTTTTGGGAAGGATAGGTATTTGAGGATAGGTTATTAATTCTTCTTTGAATGTTTGGTACAATTCACCTGGTTCAGGACTTGTGTTTTCTGGGATTTTTCTGATTACTGATTCAATCTCAACAGAAGTGATCAGTTTGGTCAGATTTTGTTTCTTCTTGATTCAGTCTTGGAAGATTGTAGTTTTCTAGGAATTTATCCATTTCTTCCAGGTGGCCAGTTTGTTGGCATATTGTTCAGTTTTTTCTTATAATCCTTTGTATTTCTGTGGTGTCAATTGTCACTTCTCTTTCATTTCTGATTTTGTGTCCTTTCTTATTTTCTTTGAGTCTTGTTAAAAGTTTATCAATTTTGTTAATCTCTTGCAAAGAACCAGCTCTTGGTTTCACTGATCTTTTGTATTGTTTTTTTAGACTCTATATCATTTATTTCTGCTCTGATCTTTATCATTTTCTTCCTTCTACTCACTTTGCAGTTTGTTCTTCTATTTCTAGTTCCTTTACTTGTAAGGTTATATATGGTTTAAGATTTTTCTTGTTTCATGAGGTAGTATGTATGGCTATTAATTTTTCTCTTAGAACTGCTTTGGCTGTGTCCCATAGATTTTTGGGTCATTGTGTTTTCATTATCATTTGTCTCATGGTATCTTTTAATTTCTTTCTTGATCTCATTGTTAATCCTTTTATTATTCAGTAACGTGTTTGTTAGGCTCCATGTGTTTTGTGTTTTTTAGGGTTCATTTTCTTTTCTTTGTAACTGATTACTTTCATACCACTGTGATCAGAGATGCTTGATAGTATTTCAATATTCTTAATCTACTGAGACGTGTTTTGTGGCCTAACATATGGTCTTTCCTGGAAAATGTTCCATGTGCTTTAGAAAAGAATGTATATTCTGCTGCTTTGAGGTGAGGTGTTTTAAAAATATCAATTAAATGCATTTGGTATAATGTGTCATATAAAGCCATTGTTTCCTTGCTGATTTTCTGTCTCATCTATCCACCGATGTCAATGGGGTGTTCAAGTCTCCTATTATTATTATTATTGTATTAGTCGATCTCCTTTTATGTCCAACAATATTTGCTTTATATATTTAGGTGCTCCTACACTGGGTGTATAAAAGTTTACAAGTTATTATATCCTCTTGTTGGAATGAGCCCTTTATTACGAAATGCTCTTCTCTTTGTCTCTTGTTACAGCCTTTGTTTTAAATTCTATTTTGTCTGATATAAATATTGCTACCCCAGCTTTTCTTCATTCCCATTGGATAAAATATCTTTTTCCATTCCTTTACTTTCAGTCTGTGTGTGTCTTTTGATCTGAGCAGGTCCCTTATAGGCAGCATATGTATGGGTCTCGTTTCTTATCCATTCATCCACCACACGTATGTCTTTTGTTTGAAGTATTTAATCTATTTACATTGAGAGTAAATATTGACAGGTATGTAGTCATTACCATTTTATTATTATTTTTCCTCCTCCTCCTCCTCTCCTGCCCCTCCTCCCCCTCCTTCTTAAACACGTCCCTTTAACATTTCTTGTAATACTAGTTTGGTAATGATGAAGTCCTTTAGCTTGTTCTTGTCTGGGAAGCTCTTTATCTCTCCTTCAATTATAAATGATAACCGTGCTGGGTAGAGTAATCTTGGTTGTAGGTACTTGCTTTTCATCACCGTATATTTTATCTTCTGGTCTGCAAATTTTCTGTTAAGAAATCAGCTTACAGGGGCCGGCCGAGTGGCTCGTTGGTTAAGAATTGGCTTGGGAGCACAAGCTCTGAGCAGCAGGGCCGCCAGTTCGGATCCCACATGGACCAGTGATGCTGCGCCCTCTACAGCAAAGATGGTGAATAACAGCTCGACCTGGAGCTGGGCTGCTATGAGTTGCCGGCAATGGCATGGGCTGTAGTAGGGCTGCAGTGGGCTGCCGTATGACGTGAGTGGCCAGCAGCCAGTGTGAGTGGCCAGCAGCCGGTGTGAGCTGCCGTGAGCCGCCATCCAATGGCTGGCGACTGATCTGCCTCAGCCGGGAAGAGCGCAGTGATCACAACACCAACATGGGCCAGTGGAGCGACATCCTCCACAACTAGACTGAAGAACAAAAGGACAGAAACTTAGCAACTTACCTGTTCCCCTTTCCCAATTCCCCAACGCTGTTCCCTCCCCCAATTCCACAATAAAATCTTAAAAAAAAAAAAAGAAATCAGCTTACAGTCTTATGGAATCTCCCTTGTAGGTAACTAAACTGCTTTTCTCTTGCTGCTTTTTAAGAGTCTCTCTGTCTTTAACCTTTGGCATTTTAATGATGATATGTCTTGGTGTGGGCCTGTTTGGTTCATCTTGTTTGGGACTCTGGGCTTATACGTCTATTTCCTTTACCACATTAGGGAAGTTTTCATTCATTATTTCTTCAAATAGGTTTTTGATTTTTTGCTCCCTCTTCTGGTACCCGTGATGCCAATGTTGGTACACTTGATGTTGTCCCAAAGGCCCCTTAAACTATCCTTCTATTTTTGGATTCTTTTTTCTTATTGCTGTTCCAATTGGATGTTTTCCACTACCTTGTTTTCCAGATTGCTGATTCGATCCTTTGTTTCATCTAATCTGCTGTTGATTCCCTCTAATGTGTTCTTCATTTCAGTTATTCATTTCTGACTGCTTCTTTATGTTTTCTATTTCCATTTTTGTTTTCTATATCTTCGTTGAAGTTTTCACTGAGTTCATCTATTATTCTCTAAGTTCTTTAAGCATCCGTATAACCAGTGTTTTGAAGTCTGTATCTGTTAGATTGCTTTTGTGTTTTTAATGAGTTTATTTAAGCTGAACTGGCGACATACACTGAGGAGCAAGATCTCAAATGCTCGTCTCCTTTTTGTTTAGTTCTTTTTCTGGAATTCTATCTCATTCTTTTATTTTGGACATGTTTCTTTGTCCCTTAAGTTTTGCTAACTCCCTGAGTTTCTTTCTATGGATTCGGTAGATCTGATAAATCTCCCAGTCTTGACAGAGTGGCCTTATGTAGGTGTCCTATGGGACCCAATTGTACAGTCTCCCTTGTCACCTGAACCATGTGCTCCAGGAGTGTTCCCTATATGGGTTATGTGTGCCCTCCTGTTGTAGTTGAACCTTGATTGTTGTTGGCACATCACTGGGTGTTCCTGATCCTCAGTCTGACTGGCTGTGAAGGCTGACCATGACTACAGCAGACAAGCTTGACCACACAGAGCAGCTGTTTTAGCAGGACCTCTGGTGTGATCTGAAGCCAGCCACTTGGTTTGCTGGTTCTTGGGCCTCTTGTGAGGGTCTCTGGTGTTGGCCGAGGTCAGCCACCACTTGTGCCAGGCTTGGGGCCTGATGGTAGATGCTGCAAAATGATCCCCAGTTGGTTGCTGCTTTCACTGGGCTTGGAGGTGCTTGGGAAAGGCTACGCTATAAGACTTCTCACCCTTGTTAGGTATCACAATGTGACCTAAGGACAGCAGCCACTTGTGGCACGCTTGTGGCCACTTAGTTGAAGCTATGCTCTAGGCCAAGACGGGTAGCTACTTACGACAGGCTTGGAACCACCTGATGGGCGTTACAATGCAAGCTGAGACCAGCTGCTGCTTGTGGCGGGTTTGGGGCTGCTTACTGAGAGCTACAAGGCCTTCTAAGGCCTCCCACTACTTGTTTGGGTTTTGTAGACCTTTGACAGATTTGGGGGAAGTCCGCAACCTGAGCCAATAGGGCGCTTGTGTAGACGAGCAGCTGGAAGAGGCTCCGGCCAGGCAGCTGAGTTGGGTGAGGCGAATGGTGTTAGCCTGGATAATGAAGAGCACAGATTTGGCATCAGCTTACACAGTGCCTGCTGGGCGAGAGGAGAGTTCAACAAAGGAACAATGACGCCTGCCAGTACTTTGGTCCCTGGAGAAAATTGCCCCAACCCCTGCCCTTGTTCTGAAGTTAGTCAATTTAGTTCCTCCCGATCTGTCTGGTGCTTTTTGAGCTGTTCCCCCTGCTCTGGAGCTTGAAGCAACTGAGTTTGTGAGCAAATGAGTCTGTGGGCAGGCCCTTTAAGACCTACAGTGACTGGTCTTTTGCAGCCCTTTGTCTTTCTTGAAGTAATACCCACTATTTTTCACAGCCAGGTGTTATGGTGACTCCTCTTTCTGGCACTGATACTCCTGGTTGGAGAATCCGGTGTGGGGCCGGACCCCTCATTCCTCAGGAGGATCTCCACAGCCAAGATATCCCTCCTGATTCTTAATCGCCACACTGTGGGTGTGGGACCTGCCTGGTCCACATCTACTAGGTGTGATCAAAACATACAGTGCATGTTTAAATAAGAAAAAGTTTATTTTGGTAAAAGACACACTGCCATTAATCCCTCTAAAAACACTCACCCTCACTTAGAACACACTTATTCCATCGTTCTTGCCACTTTCTGAAGCAGTTCTGGAAGTCCTCTTTTGTGAGTGTCTTTAGTTGCACTGTGGTGGCTGCTTTGATGTCCGGAATCGATTCAAAACTCTTACTTCTCATGGTCATTTTGACTTTGGAGAACAGCAAGTCGCATGGTGCCAGATCCGGTGAATGATGACACACCATAATGTTTTTTGACAGGAATTGCCGTATACAAGAAGCAATGTGTGATAATAGAGCGTTGTCATGATGGAGGATGATTTATGACACACTTTAAAACACACCTCTCAACCATAGCTCACACCTGGCTGACTGCACCGAACAAGTTGACACTTGTCACACTATTACTATGGTTCAACACACTGCTTCCCATATTGAAAATCACTGCCTTTCCGATGGATGGCACTCGGCAGCAGCATTCACTGTATGTTTTGATCACACCTCAAAAGCCCTGCCTACCAGTCTCGACATATCTTCTTCATATCCTTAATTACATGAATTCTGTTCAGTTAGTTTTCAGGTAGTTCTCAGTGATGGCTGTTCTATAATTTAGTTGTGATTTTGATATGATTACAGGAGGAGGCGAGTACAGTTTATCTACTCTGCCATTTTGATCCAGGCACAGCCTGTCTTGAATGTATGTTGTTTTAATTTACAAGTTTTGGATTAGAAAACTAATACATTTAGCATTCTTTTTAAGCAATTTTAGCAATGACTAGTTCTAAATAAAAGAGATTTAGAGGACAAAAGTACTATATTACTATTCTATGGCTGGTGTAACAATGATCACAATCTTGGTGGCTTAAAATGATGAAAATTTATTTTCTCAGCTCTGGAGGCCAGAATCCCAAAAATCAACATGTTGGGGGGGCTACACTGGTTCCAGAGGCTCTAGAGATAATGTTCTTTGCCTCTTTCAACTTCTAGTGGCTATCAACATTCCAGGGTTGTGGCTGCCTCACTCCAAAGTCTTCCTCTCTATATCTCTTGTAAGGACAACTGTGATTGGATTTAAGCCTATCTGCATAATCAAGGATAATCTCCTCATCTCAAATCATTAATTACATTTGCAAAGACCCTTTTTAAACCAAATAAGGTAGCATTCATAGATTCCAGGAATTAGGATGTAAGCTTATGTTTTTGAGGGCTATCATTCAGCTTACTATAGGATTTGACAAGGCAAAAGAAATTTTATCCAATGTGACCATACATACACACACAACCCCCCCCCACACACACACACACCCCATGCATGTGAAGGCTGTGCCAGCTGCAACGAAACCCATGGCACCCAAGCAGCTCCAGAGCTAGCCTGCCTGTCTCCTCATCACCAGCAATGCCACCAAGGCTGAAGCTCATGTGGAGAGAGGAGACAGTTCACACTGGGTGACCTTACGGAAAACGTACTGTGAAAGGAAGGGACAGCTAACAGAGGGGGAACCAGGCAGAGGATGGGGCAAAAGCACAGGCCTTGTCCAGCAGCATGTGGGAGGGAGGTACACAAAATTAAAAAAAAAAAAAAGAAAAGAAAAAATTTATATACTTACTCCTTTGCTGACTGGAGAGCCCTCGTAGGTTTCATATGGGCCATGCTCCTTGGCCAGATCACAGCTGGCTTCCAAGGCTCCATAATAAATGGTTTCAAAGATTTGCTTATTCAATAACTGGGCCTCTGGACTCTCAAAAGGATACCTCATCAGAATAAAAGCATCTGCCAGACCTTGTACTCCAATTCCAATGGGGCGATGGCGTTTATTTGATAAGTATGCCTTTGTGCCAATAGATACAGAGAAGATATTATTGAACAGAAAAAGCAACGTTCTGTACCAAATGACACACACACCCTTTCTTTTCTCACACAATTCCAATTTAAATGGTGATAACCATTTAAATGATGATTGGCAGGCAGACTGTGATAAACTCCCTCTACCTTGGATTTTAGTAATTACCAATAAGCAGAAATATCTATTCATACCTCTGGGACAGGGTAGTAGTTAATATCAATAATTTTATTCAAGTTTCTGACAATGACTTTGGTGACTTCAGCCAACTTCTTAAAGTCGTATGTGATTTCTGATGTGACATACATATTCAGAGCCAGGGAAGCCAAGTTACAAACTGCAACCTGTAATGCAAAGAAGGGTCAAGAATCACACAATTTTAATTTCTTCCGTGGGTCAAAAACACTGCCATATAAGCCTCTAACACTCTCTGACATTACTTTTTTTTTTATCTTTGACTTCTCGCTCTTCATCATTCACCAGTTCATTTCTAAATCCCAGTACCTATTCACACATGTCCGTTGTAACATGCACCAGTGAAATAGGTAAGATGAAGAAAGAGCCCTATATTCCATAGTACACGGCTCCCTTACCAGGCTAGTATCACACTGTTATAATTTTTATGCGTATCTGTCTTAGTCAGTATATGTGGACTGTCCAATACAGTACCCACTAACAACATGGAACTATTTAATTAAAATTAAAAGAAATTTAAAATTCAGTTTCTCAGTTGTACTGGTCACATTTCAAGTGCTCAGTAGCCACCAGATACAGAATATTTCTAACACTGCATAAAGCTCTTCCAAATCACACAGGCCTACATCACTCTAAGATTCTGACAAGCCATTAACAACAAAGGATCCAAGTTTGTGAATTTAAAAAAAGCTCTTCAGGTGATTCTCCCACTATACTCACTATACTAGGTGGTGACCTTTTTCACATAGGAATCGTATATTATTTATCCCTGTATTTTTAGTACTAGCAACACATCTGGCACATAGTAAAATGCTTAATAATGTTGAATGAATATGCCTTCTTTTTCATTTTGATTATGACTATTCTAATCCAATTGCTCAACTCCTCTGACCTAGACGACCTCATGTCCTTAATACCTAGTCAATTCTATGCTTGCTGCCAAAGTACCCATTTTTAAAACATAGCTCAGATCACATAATTCTGATAAAAAATTAGACAGGAAAAATAAGACAGAAAAAAAAGACAGAGTCCTGGGTTGAGGGATGTAAGGAGTGCCACTTTTATTTTATTTTAATTTTACTTACTTACTTACTTATTTATTTTAAGATTTTATTGGAGAACTGGGAAAGGGGACAGTCAAGTTGTTGTCCTTCAATCTTAGTTGTGGAGGACACAGCTAGCTCAGCTCCAAGTCCAGTCGCCATCCGGCCACCTGTCGGCAGCTCATGGCCACTCAGCTCAAGGTGCCATGTTCAATCTTAGTTGCGGGTGGGTGTAGCCCACCATCCCATGCGGGAGTCGAACCGGCAACCTTGTTAGGAGCATGTGCTCTCACCAGCTGAGCCATCCGGCCACCTATTGGCAACTCAGCAGCAGCTCAGCTCAGGCGCAGCTCACTGGCCCTTGCTCAGAGCTCGCGATCTTAACCAACAGAGCCACTCGGCCGACCCAGGAGTGCCATTTTTATTTATTTATTTTTTTAAATAACTGAGCCACTCGGCTGGCCTTTTTTTTTTTTGCATTCTTTTTTTTTTTAAGATTTCTTTTGGGGAATTGGGGGAATGGGAACAGCGTTGGGGAATTGGGGGAAGGGGAACAGACAAGTTGCTGTCCTTTTGTTCTTCAGTCTAGTGTGGAGGACGTTGCTTCACTGGCCCAAGTTGGCACCATCATTGCGCTCTTCCCGGCGAGGTAGATCAGTCGCCGGCTTCTGGATGGCCGCTCACGGAGGCTGCTTGCCGCTCACGCTGGCTGCTCACACTGGCTGCTGGCTACATACGGTAGCCCATGGCAACCCACTGCCACAGGGGCTGCATGCAGCCTAGCCGCCGACGGCGACCCATGACAGCCCAGCTCCAGGTCGAGCTGTTGTTCAGCATCTTAGCTGTAGAGGGCAGTGTCACTGGCCCTCACATGTGGCATCCGAACCAGNAAAAAACTACTTATAACAGGCTAGGCACTGACCTAAGCAACACACATACTTATCTTCAACAGAATTTATTGGTGAAATTGTATTATTATCCCCATTCTAAAGATGAGGAAATTGAAGCAGAGAAAGATTAAGTAACTTGCTAATAAGAAATAGAGCAGCGATTTGAACCCATGTGATCTGATACCAACATTCATGTTCTTAATCACTGTTATCAACACAAAAGTACCCAGAAAAGCACTTGGCACACAGTAGAGATTCAATAAATAGTTGTTGTATAAACAGCGGAATATGAAATCATTATTGCAAATTATCTGCATAGCTCCTCAGGTAATCCAAAAGTAATATTTGGAAAATCTGAAAACTGCAAATGGATAAGCTATCTTTCCTTAATTCAAACAACCACCATCACTCTAACCCCACTAATCCCCCAGGTCTATCCCACTCCCAACAGCTTATTGCCTTTATAATTAAAAATCTGCATTTCTAAACAAACAAAAACCTGTATTTCCTGACATAAGGAGGAATTCCCACTTTATTTACCTTAAAGCCAAAGTAATTATAAGAGAAATCACGGTCATAGATAATGGCAGAGTTCAGGCGCTGGAGGAGATGAAAAAAAACCCATGATTGAAGTAATTAGACTTATTTTCACAAAATCTGGTATCTTTCATCCCTGACACCAGGATTAAAATTGACATTGGATACTAAAGAGATAACACTAAGCATTATTGTTGTAGAATAGAAATCCATATCTAACGTTAGGAAAAAATTATATAAATTGAATATCCTAATTAGGTTTAAGAACATGTACATTAAAAGACTAGAAGTAAAAATATAAGTGTGACTTTCCAAACTTTCCTATTATATTTAGAGTACATCTCTAATTAAAGAGGAATAGAATGTGCATAAAAGGGACTATATTATCATCTTTACACATATTTTTAGATTAGCTGTTAATCCAAAAGTATTTGGTACCATATACTAATACATAGTTTTACTATAAAAATTAGACCAATTTAAATTGCCCATGACCATGTATGTAATAAACAATGACAGAAAGTAAGCTTACATTAATTCTAAGGCTCTTCAAAATCCATGGTCCTTTAACAGGTTTTATACAAACTACTGCTATGACAATAATATTTTATAGAAGACCTGGCCATTGTTAGTTTTTGTAGACTATAAAGCCATTTAGAGAAAAACAAAAGCAAAGGTATAAATAGTCATTCTGGATTGAGCCAGTTTTTCAAAATACTATCAATGTTTCTGTATAATGATCCATGTCCCAGGACTAGAAAACCTACCGTATTTGCTGGCGTATAAGACGACTGGGCGTATAAGACGACCCCCTAACATTTCCACTCAAAATACAGAGTTTGTTATATACTCGCCNCCCAGCTCCAGGTCGAGCTGTTGTTCAGCATCTTAGCTGTAGAGGGCAGTGTCACTGGCCCTCACATGTGGCATCCGAACCAGGGCCCTCTGGCGTCCCAAGCCAGTTCTTAACCATCGCGCGACTCGGCCGGCCCAGGAGTGCCATTTTTAAATAGAGTTGTCTAGAGAGACCTCACTAAGAACCAGACATGAACAAAGAACTGAAGCAGTTATAAAGCAAGTCATGTGGCTATCTGGGGGAAGAGCATTAACAGCAAAAATCCTGAGGCAGGAGCATGCTTGCTTTGTTGGAAGAACAGCAAGGAAATTAGTAGGGATGGAACACAGTGAGCAAGGAGAAAATAACAGCAGTGAGGTAGGGATATCCAGTTGTGCAGGACCTCATAGGGCACTGTAAGAATTCTGGATGGGAATGAAGTACTGATACATGCTACAACATGGATAAGTATTAACAACATAGTAAGTGAAAGATGCCTGACATAGAAAGCCTAATATTATGAGATTCCATCTGTATGGAATGCCCACAATAGGCAAATCCAGAGACAGAAAACAGATTAGTGATTGCCAGGGGCAGGATGAAAAGGGGAACAGGAAGTGACTGCTGATGAGTACAAGGTTTCTGGGGTGGTAAAATCATTCTAGAATTAGAAATTGATAGTTGCACAATTTTACAAGGGTGAATTTTATGGTATGTGAATTATATCTCAATTTTAAAAAAGAAAGAATGGACCCTGGATGGGTTGGAAAGTCAAAGAAGAGTACTGTGCAGAGAAATGATCTGATCTGATTTTTGTTTTAAAAAGAGTCACTCTAGTCTCTATAATATAATCTTATCTTGTAGAATTGTTATTTGAGTATATGTTAATTCCACCAACTAAAGTATACATTCCCAGAAGGCAGGGACTGAGCCATATTCATTTGTATTCCCAGAGCACTTAGTACAGTGTCTTACACATAGCTGGTGTTCAACACATTTCGTTGAATTAAACTGCAACTTTAGCAGTATGTTTAAATCAAGTTTCCATTCTCTTCTGATTTTTCATCTGTCATGTTTTTATTTTAGATCCTAGAATTTGTGATCTTCTACTTCCTCTTCATTTCTACAGTTTACATCCAATATCCAAGCAGCCTGTCATGCAACGATCTCCTTAAGCTAACCTCTAACCTCTTCTCATACCAACCCATTCTATAACCAGAATTAAGAACTATCCTTCTCATCCTAGCATTTTGATACTTTCTTTCCAGAAACCTACCAGGGCTTCCTACCTGTGACATGCCAGCTTTCACCTACTAACTCCTTTCCTCTAGCCAAAGCCATCTCTCCATATACCAAACGTTAATGTATTTGCTTCACCAAAACAAACCTGCTTGACACTCATTGCACAAAACCTAACCCTATCTCTGATCTGTCATATAGGTTGTTGTTCCCAAATGAAAGCTTTTCCATAAACTTTTAAAAACAAAACCAAAAAAAACCACGAATCTACATCCCATTTCTAGTGAATCACCTTAAAGGTCTGTGATTAGAATTTCATCTCACCATTCACTGAAAGGACTCTCTACATGTTTACATACTTTAAACTGAATAAGCATCCTTACACATTTTTGTGTTTGTCCTAAACCACCGTAACTGTATATTGCTATTTTTCTCAAGAAAAGATTATTATAACAATGCATGTGTAAGAAAAAGTTGAGTCTTTTCTACATACATGGCTTAGACTAAAAGATAATCAAGGGCACAGATCACACCTCTTCTTTCCTTTGTAATTTCTGTCTATTATAGTGCCCTTCTGTTCACCAACAAACAAGCTATGAAACTTCCTTCACCCATCTGACGTGAAATCAAGTGAGGATTCACAAACAACAACATCCTAAGATTCTTCTTTCAGTACTAGATTTAGGCAGAAGTTTTTCTACCTACCTCATCTTTGCTTGTATACTCTACTATTTCTGTGCACAGGTTGCTGCATTTGATCGTTCCCAGGTTCTGCTGGTTGCTTTTCCGGTTACAGGAATCTTTGTAGAGCATGTATGGGGTACCTGTCTCTGTCTGAGACTCAATGATGGCATACCAAAGCTGCTGGGCTTTTACAACTTTGCGGACACGACCCTGTTTCTCATAACTGAAAAGCAAAGCTAATTATTATTTTAATATTCCCTGAGAAAACCTTTATTGCAGATAACTTGAAGAAAGACACTAAAATATAATATGATAAAAAGTCTTAAATTTTTCACTAAATTTTGCTAAGGAAAAAAAAAAAAGGAATGATTTTCATTTTACTCTCACTAAAGCCATAGAGGAAAATCAGGCACCTTTAAATCCCTTCAGATACTCCCCAATCCCACTAATCAATAATACCCTCCATAATAAAAAGGGACAAAACCTAAAGTGGTCAAACTGCACTAAAGTAGTACTATTGTGCTATTATTTAATGAACTATTCATTGTGTGTCCTAGTTACTCTTGATTCCTGTGTACAATATAAAGCATAACTTATTTTATCAAATGTACTGTATGACAAAGCAAAATAATAACCCTGCTAACTCTATCTTTAATTTTTAAAAGCATCAACTGAGAAACCCAAGCAAATATTTACATGCCCCAAAGTTTTAAGAAAGAAGACAGAAACCCAAATTTTGGTAAAGATTCAGAAAGAAAACCTGACTGAAATAAAATTATTAATCACATTCTCTTCTAGATGCTTCCAAAGATTCCTAGAAACTGGCTAATGAATGGTATTGTTTTGAAATGTGGATCCCCCCTCAAACAACAGAAAAACACGTAAAACATTATTACTTTCATATTTTCCCCATACCTTTCATATAGCTTCTCAAATTCCTCTCCCCAAACCTCATCAAGACCAGGACACTCATTTGGACACATCAAAGACCAGTCCTACAAAGGGAAAAACAGTACCACCCATAAGAAACTTCAAATAACCAACCATGCCTAGTCCATTAAAAACACTGTAAGGGATGCGGTTGTCTTCCACACACTGTCTTGGAAATCTGGTATAGAAATAATCATTTTAGGCTCAGGTCCAATCATCTATAGTAGTTCTGGCCTGTCTGAATACCACCTTTTAAGCATTTAGGTCAGATAGCATTTACTTCAGAGAATAAAAATCCAAGACATGAATGGCATCTCTTATCTTGTTCAAATGCCATCTGTACAAAACACATAGGTGGAGTCTTCCTAAGCATGATTTAAGATGATTGAAGAGAAAGCTTATATGAATTGAGTCGTTATTACCAACAGGTACCTATCTCTCACCTGATTAGTCTCCACTCGTTTCATGAAGAGATCTGGAATCCAAAGGGCAAAGAAAAGGTCCCTGGCACGCTGCTCTTCCTTTCCTGTGTTCTTCTTTAAATCAAGAAACTCAAAGATGTCTAAATGCCAAGGTTCCAGGTAAATAGCAAATGCCCCAGGTCGCTAAATGGTAAATAAATCATACTTTTCAGAATCAGAATGGAACAAAGAAACTTCACATTATCCAAAGCATTTTTATAACACCTCCTTAGATCTTCACTACAATTCATGAATCAAATGAGATAATACAAATAAAAGTACTATCAAAATATAAAGTAGTAATATTTTTTCTTACAATTCTAGGAGTAAAAAAGAGCACTTGACATAAAGAAAATATGGAAAAGGATTAAATAACTTGTCCAAAGTGATACAGTGAACTAGAGATGGAGCTGCCTCTTCAGTTGTCATCCAGCTCACTTTACATTATATGACATGTATGTAAAGCCCAAAAAAATCACTTTAACTCTGACAATAATAGGTTGTGCCCTTATTAAAGGTCAAAAAGGTGATATGTCTTATCAAGGTCCCCACATTTTCTTTTTTTTTAAGTACACCAGAGAGACATTCATAAACAAAGAGGTGATTGGTGTGCCTATATATATCTATAAGAGGCAGGCTCAAGTTAAAAATTATCCGGCTGGTAATACTGGATAAATGACCCAATTCTTTCAACTTTACTTTTCCCTCCATAAAATAGGCAGCGTTTTTGTTTTTGTTTTTTTTAAAGAAAAAACCCAAAAGACATATTACAATCCCTTTTCACGATTAGGGATTAATATGAGTCACAACTTTAAAAATTCTTGGCAAATAAACTGTCATGTAAAAAAGCTGCTGACTAGATCATTGGCTGCCTGGAGCCAGTATGTATGGGTGAGAGTAATGGGGGTAATTAATACAAAGGTGCATGAAGAAACACTTTGTGGTAATAGAAATGTTCTATATTTTGATTAGTGTGGTGCTTACAGTGTAAATATCTATAAAAGCCATCAAACTGTACATTTCAAGTGTGTGCACTTTAGAGTAAGTATATTATACTCAAAAATTGATTTTAAAAGTGAAAAAAATAGGCAAAGTTGTTAGAAGCATACACAATGAACCATCTTATTATAGGCATACATGGCTAAAGACTTTTAGTTCTGATTTCCAGTACTTTCAAGTAAAAGGGCATACCTTGTTTCCACCCTGATCCACGTATCTAGCTGTGTTGTTATATACTCTCAGCATTGGTACAAGGCCATTGGAATTGCCATTAGTCTGAAAGAGAGACTGAGAATAAAGGTATCTGGAGGGAAAGAGGGCTTGACAAGGAAAAGAACAAAATGGCTCAAAAAGTGAACAAATTACTCTGTCCTAGCCTTTATAAAATTTAATCTGCTCTCCAGTTCTACCTCTTCATTGAAAACATAATGCAGAACATAAAATAACCAAAATGTTGAATAAATTACAATTATGTACAAAGTTATTTCGTGGCATCTCTAATTTACAATGATATAACAACTACAAGTCAAAAGAATCCAAAATCAGGATAAATGCACCTTCTAAAGGTCATTATATAAATATATACTTTGGGTAAAGTAAAAATACCACTACAATGTCTTTTTCCCAAAAGAATTCAAGGCACCTTACAATAACAATTATATGCAATGGATAAATCAAGACAATAGACAAAGTAAATGGAGATTCTCAGCAATAAATGGATTCTAGAATGAAGAAAACAGACTCCTAAGACTAGAAGAAACCTCATCAAATGTCAAAATAATCCTTTTAACACAAGGCAGGCCTTTAAACAGTCTAGAACAGCGGTTCTCAACCTGTGGGTCGCGACCTCTTTGGGGGTCGAACGACCCTTTCACAGGGGTCGCCTAAGACCATCGGAAAACAAAAAGATATTTACATTACGATTCATAACAGTAGCAAAATTACAGTTATAGAGTAGCAACGAAAATAATTTTATGGTTGGGGGTCACCACAACATGAGGAACTGTATTAAGGGGTCGCGGCATTAGGAAGGTTGAGAACCGCTGCTCTAGAAAGTGAGCAAGGGCTCACCCTACTATTGTGTGCAAGTGCTACATGTATCACAGCACCTCCAAAATACCACATAATGGAATGGTTTCCTTCTGGACTATAGTTTTATTCTATAAGGTTAGATATTTTCTTCACATTACAGATGAAGAAACAATATAATGTAAAATAACTTGCACTAGGCACTGCTAGTAAGTAGTGCAGATAGGACTTAAATCTAGGTCTTACCTAAAATCATTATCTTGACTCCCAAAGCATAGTGAACTAGCAAGGCGTGAAGTTACAATCACAAGGTGCCAATGTTTAAATTAAAGCTTGAATCCTGGTTCTATCACATATTAAGTGACTAGTCTCTGGAAGTAATTTAAACTTTCTAAGCCTCAGTCTCCTCTATTGTAAAATAAAGACAACAGTGCTTATACTCACAAAGTTACTGTAAGACTTAAAGTTCCTATCATGTGTCTAATATTTATCTCATAAGGATGTAGTAAGGATTAAAAGAGTAATTCATGTAAAACTTTAATAACAGATTTAGCACATAGTAAGCAATCAATAAATGACAGTTGCTATTATTATGGCAAAATGAATCAGAATTCCAAAATCGGAGCTAAAAAAGGTCCTGCAGATCTAATTTAAACCTCTAATAAGAGATGAAAATGAAGCCAGAAGCAGTGAAATGACTCGCTCCAAGTCATATAGCCAGTTAGTAATTAACAGAGACCCAGATCTCCCAAGCCCATAGCATATGCCCTCTCAACCATAAGCTTGGTTACTTAAGGACTCAAATCCCTCTAGTCTACACATTCTTAGCCATACAACACAAGCTTACCCCAGCAATGTAGCTGCCAGTAGCTCGAATACAACTCACAGCAACACCAATTCCCCCAGCAGACTTGGAAATCAATGCACACTGCTTTAGAGTGTCATAAATGCCTTCAATGCTATCATCTTTCATACTCAGGAGGAAACAGCTATGGGGGTAAAAAGTCACAACTCAGCAAGGAAATGAAGCAAAGCAGAGGCACAAAAATGAGTATACAATCCAAAGACAGTAAGTTAGGCATATAAAAGATTTGAAGTTTACAAAATCCCTACGTGTTTTACAAAGAAAAACAAAAACTTTTATTGGTTATGACACAGTAAGATATATCAACATACCAGTTTTAAAATCACCTTGCTGCCTACCCTAGATGCTAAGCCTAAAAGGACGTCTTAGAGATAAGTCTAAAATATTAGCTTATGTGTTCACCGTTATCACATTTTCTCATACAAATTCCTAAGCATATATGTCTTTTCAAACCATTAGCAAGCCAAGAAAAATTACACATTTATGAAAAAAGAAACACCTATCCAATGATCAACCAATTTTTTGATATGTCCACCAAAATTTTGCTCCCTTAGTCATTTTTGAAGATGAGCCCTCCACCTGTGCACTGGATCTCATCTTGTTCTCTACCTCAGGAACCTTACTCTAGCAAGGGTCCCTTTACTACTGTGAATATTCAACCAATAAAATGGATTCTATCCACTGACTTCTTCTATTGAATATTCAGACATTCATGAAGACATAGAAAATAATACAACATATACTTTGTACTGACTACCTACCTCAAAAAAGTAGATACTATAAATGTAGCCTAATTACAATTGCATATCATTTCCATGCATTTCTAACTTCTTTTAGCACTTTTACGTTCTACGTTTTTTAAAATTTCTGGTTGAATATTTATTTATCCTCTGCAACTTGCTTTTCACTCAATATTGCATTAGAGATTCATTCCTACCAATACATGTAGTTCTAGTTTATTTTCACTGTTATTAAGGTATTCCATGGTATGAATATACCAATATAGTTGTCCACTTGTCTGTTGATGGACATTTAGATTATTTCCAATTTGTTTGCTCTTCTAAACAATGCTGTTGTGAGAATTCTTGAACATATCTCCCTGTGCTTATGTCTAAGAATTTCTGTAGGGTATAAACGTAGGAGACAATTGCTAAGTCAAAGGATTTGCATATGCTCTACTTTACTAAAGATTCTCCAAAATAAATGGATAAGTATACTCTATCTTGCAATATATGATTTCTTGTGCGCCACATTCTTACCAACAATTGTGACTATCAGCCTTTTCATTTTTATCAAATTGATGGGTATATCTCATTATGATATTAACATTAATTTTCATAATTACCAGCAAAGTTTATCATCATCTCACGTTTATTGGCCAATCAAGTTTCTTCTTCTATGAAATTTTTTTCCTCTCTTGCCCATACTTCTATGTGGTTTTCTGTCTTTTTCTTATAATCCCTTGAAGGTTAATATACATTGCAAATATCTTCTCCCAGTCTGAAATTTGTGTTTGGTTCACAGAACTTCTTAATTTTAATGTAGTCAATTTTTCCTTTATGTTGTTTTGCTTATTATTTCTATTTTAAAAAATCCTTCACTACTGACATCATATATAGTCTCCTAACAAGATGGAGGTTGAAGCAGTATTAAGAGTCATGATGTCTACAACTCGCTTTTAAATGACTCAAAAAAAAAAAAATTAAAGATAAATTTAAAAATATAGGGACCGGCCAAGTGGCTCAGTTGGGTAAGAGCTCGCTCAAGAGTTTGAGCTCTGAGCAACAGTGGTTCGATTCCCAGCCCAAGCTGAACTGCCAACAGCTGGCAGGATGGCTCAGCTGGTGAGAGCACATGCTCCTAACAATGACTAAGGCTGAACTCGGCACCTTGAGCTGAGCTGCCACCCGGATGACTCAGTAGATAGAGCATGCATTTAAAGATTTTTATTGGGGAATTGGGGACGGGAACAGCGCTGGGGAATTGGGGGAAGGGGAACAGACAAGTTGCTGTCCTTTTGTTCTTCAGTTTAGTTGTGGAGGATGTTGCTTCACTGGCCCAAGTTGGCACCATCATCGCGCTCTTCCTGGGTGAGGCAGATCAGTCACCGGCTTCTGAACGGCCGCTCACGGCGGCTACTGGCAGCTCATGCTGGCTGCTGGCTACACACGGTA